TCACATGCTTCAGTTTGCATTCCCCAAAGACATCAAAGGGTGTGAGGATGGGGACTTTCCTTGTGACAGGAGAAACGTTGACAGCCAGTGTCATACACAAGGGTATGGAATCATTGCACCTCTCCTTTTTGTGTTTTTGTTGATGGTTGCATCTCATTAATGAAAAGAATCATTTTTTAAGATTCGGACAATACTAAACTACCCAAAAAAAAAACACTACACGAGTAAAGACCCCTGCATTCAGGGCCCCCCTCATCCAAGCACAAAACATTTTTGCAATGGAAAATTGCCGTTGGATTTTGGGCAATTATCATATCCATTTCTTGTTCTGGTAGCTTTAAATTTTGTTTCCAAATCCCTAGACTAAGAATGGGCTTGCCCGCGCCCAAACCCAATTGGATAAGGTGCCTATATCCCTAGTCCAATGGACTGAGTTCGAATTCGATTCCTCCAATTTGTAACAGAAAAAAAAAAAAAAGCTTATACGGAAAAAAAAGTAATAATAAATAAAGAAAAAAAATTAAAATACTCTGTAATTAAAAATAATAAAATATTTAATAATAACTACGTAAAAATTTAATAAAACTACCACTTCCTATATACTTTATACATTTAATAATTATAATTATACATTTTGAACATTTTTAAATATAAGACGCCTAATTTTTCTTTTTCACTAATAAACAATAATAAAAGTCTCCCTCCCGTCCGCACATGGTGACCTATTGACCACCCCTTGCGGACGTGAATAAGATTAATGAGACTTGGATCAAATTCCAGTTCCCTTCCTTCCCCGGAAAAAAACCAAAAGTTTCCCACTGTTTAAAAAAAAAAAAAAATACTAATGTTATAGGAAAAAAAAAGTTTAAAAAAAAAAAAAAATAAATAATAATAATAAAAGTCTCCCTCCCATTTTTTCGCTCTTTATTAATGACATTTCCTAATTTTTTCGGGTCGTGCCCAACTCCGATATCGTCACTCCGGTCTGCACCGGTTTTTCTTCTACCTGAATTTCATCAGCACTCCAGTCTTCGTTTTCTTTTTCATTTTTCTTTCTGTTACTTTTAATTTCAAGCATTATGAATTCGTCATCAGCTCCAAATTTCTTCCTTCATTTTTTGACAATTTTGGCTTAATTGATCTGCAATTTTCTCCAAAAAAATCGCAACCGGCGCAATTCTAGCCTATTTTTCTTCTAATTGCACAGTTGAAATCCAATTTGGAACGCATGGACTAGCATAATTTCTCCTTATGTTGGTTC